GCCCTGACCTTGGCAATGTGTTGGCACTTTACGAATTAATCTTGCTAACCCCCCCCCCAAATGTTATGGGCTAGGTAACCTCAACGTGTGGCAGATATGACAATAGGGTGAGGAAGGATAAAACTCTCAACCAAGGCCATAAAAACTAGATCTTCCATCATTGTTCTCACCTTGTCTATTTGAAAGGCAGGAAAACCAGTTTTGCAGTCATCAAAAAGGGAGGCACAGGCTTAGTCACCAATAATCTCAGATCCTCACTTTCCTCTTAACCACCTTATTAATTCAAATATAATTAAATTCTGCCTTAGTTCCTGAATATAACTCCTCATATGGCAGATTGAAATCATTATGAGTTCACACTATACTTCATATCTGAAGACGTTGCTACCCAGTTTGACAAGGATGGAACAATAAGGAGCTATAACCACAAATCACAGGGTTCCACACAAAGGCACAGAACTGAGAAAAAAAAAGAAAAAAAATCCTACAGATTTTTTCTGTTCTCTATTCAAGTCTCTACTGCATGCAGAAACAGACTTAAGTGGCATAAATCAGAAAATGATAATGGGAACTGAATGAAATTCTCATAAATCACGTTACTAAGTATAGTTACATCTTAGATGTGAAACCCAATTAAACAGATGGCCACATGCTGTCAGAATCAGCCCCTAATCAATAAAGATGTTCATTTTAGAGAATCACCTCAATTTTTCACTTCTTCAGTGAAGCAAAAAGAAGGCAGTTGGGGGTGGGGGGAGTCCCAGGAAGCCCAGTGGGGAAATATGTAAGAAGAAACTCCACCTGTCTTAATTTGTAGTCCAGAAAATCAGAAAGGAGAGAGGGAAAAAGTCACCCACAGGATTCCTTGTCATCTTGCCTGGGTAGGTTATTTACAATGAGAGCATGAACTGGTCATTAGGAAAATAGAAACAGCTTGAATCTCTTAATTAAAATACTGTTTTCAAATTGTTCGTTCAAAAACCCCTCTGCCCATGAGCTTTCAAGAAACCACTGGGTTACCCTGAAATGGCTTCCTCATCAGTAAACTTGTGATAGGATCAGCTCTTCCCAGGCAAGAAAAAGACTGAGCAGGGGTGAATCCTGGAGATGGAACTATTATTATACACATTTGAGTCCCTCAAGGAGCAGTAAGCCTTCACTGACATTTGAAAGTGAGTGTGGAAACACTGACGAAGAAACTATCTCATTGTTTTTTCTTGCATAAGAGTTAGTCTATTACACTGGTGAAAATTAAGTCTACCAATTACAAAAGCTGGTGAAAACAAGGAACATAAATACTTCTGCATTTTGGAGCACTCACTTTGAAAAATATTTAATGTTATCTCATAGAGCTGAGTATTTGCATATCCTACCAGCCAGTAATTCCACTTCTAGGCATATACCTCTTGATAGTTTTTTGAGACATGCTCGAGAATATTCAGAGCATCATTGTTCATAAGAGCAAAAACCTGGGATGGGGGGGACACATAGATCTGTCAATAGGAGAACAGATAAATAATCTGGGAGTACAGTCATGCAATGAAGTATTATACAGTAGTGAAAATAAAATGCTATGTGGACAAATCTTAAAAACAGCATGTTGACTGAAAAATGCAGTTTTTAAGATTGTATACAGTATGATACCATTTTATGCTAAAAAAACAAGTAAAAATAAACAACATACTGTTTAGATATACCTACATAAATGGTTAAAATGTTATTTAAAAAATGATAAACTCGCAAATCAGAAAAGTGGTTACTTCTGTGGTGAGAGAGGGATGGAATGGGGAGGGCCACAGGCAGCTGCCAAAATACTGGAATGTTCTGGTTCCTGGTTGGGCGAGAGGCTCATAGGCACATATTGATTTCATTATGTTTTCATATATTCTTTATATCTTAATATGTGCCAGCATGTTACATATATTCTTTTTGCATGTAACAAATATTATATAACAAAACATTTTTAAAGGAATAATCTAAACAATTTTATACTACCCAATAGAATATTCCAAATGTTATTACATTCAATAATATCTTTAAATAAATATTATTTTAAGTATTAGTTATAATTAATAATTCAAATATCATAAGTAACCATGTAACATATATCACTTAGTTCTCATTTTAAAGTTTAGGACCATAAGAAGCCAGTGGTAGTTTCATGATAATGAATCTTTATATAGTAAGGAGTGACATTCAAAATATTTAACAACTTACTTGGTTATGTAAATCAGTGTAGAAATAAAAAATTCCCACCATCTGCTTGTTTTCCTTCTGTTCCTTACTCTCTCAGACCAGTCCTACAGAGACTGCCATTCCCAATAGTGGCCACAGGAGAACAACTCTAAGAAGATGTGCCTGCTGGCCTTTATGCTGTCCCCAACTGACCAGAATCCTGTAGGGGCCAGGGCCAGTATGGAGGACACAAAGCAGACTGGCTGACCCACCAGGGGGCAGGCAGGGTGCCTCACTGAGAAGGTGGCTTTTTGAGAAAAGATTTGAAGGAAATGGGAGCCCACACCAGACAGGTCACTTGGTTTTCCAAGAAAAAGTGAACCCCCACGTATAAATTCTTTGAGGGCAGAGTATGTTAGCCATGCTCTAAGAATACAAAGGAGGCCAGTGTGGCTGGAACAGAGGGAGGGAGGGGGAGAGTAGGAGGAGATACAGGCAGAGAGATACAGGCCTCAAGGCCATTGCAAGTAATTTGGCTTAAACTCTGAGATGGGATGCTGATAAAAGCTTTTGAACAAAGTGACATGATATGACTGTAAAACAACTTAAAATGACTGACATATTATATTTAGAATAAACAGAAGGGGGATGAAAGCAGAAGCAGGTAGGCCAGTGAGGAGGTTATTCCTGTAATCTAGGTGGGAGATGGTGGTGGTTATGAACAAGGGTAATGCGTCTTTGCATTCCATCTTCTGCATTCAACAGTGTAGAATTGTGATTGAAACCATGAGATTCAATGTTATCACTGCATGAGTGAGCAAAGATGGAGAACAGAGGAGAACAAAAAAGGCATAAGAACTGAGCCTTGGAGCATGTAATCACTAAGAGATAAGGGAGATGAGGAGAAACCAGCGAGGAATTGCACATGAGCAGCCTACCCTCCCAAAGACAGGTAACCACCAACCTGAATTTGGTACTTGTCATTCTCATGAATGTCTTTACACATCTACTACAAATGGATGTAATGCTAAATGATGTGAAGAATTGTTCTGAATGATTTTCAACTTTATTTATGAGGGGGACCAAAAAAACCCAGAATTATCTTTTGGAGGGCAGGCCCCCGTAGTCACTCGGAATTTGTTCCTCTGGATGAAACAACCAACCAAAATTTTTACCTCGAAGTTTTGAGACGGTTGTGTCACGATTTGCAGAAGAAACTTTCTGAATTGTAGCAAACAAGTGACTGGTTCTTCCACTATGACAACACACTTGCCCACGCTGCGCTGAGTGTTCAGCAGTTTTTGACCAAAACAGCATGACCCCCAAACCCCACTCTCCCTCCTATCTTGTCCCAAGTGACGACATTTTGTTTCCCCAGATGAGAAAAAGTCTTCAAAGGGAAACATTTTGCAGATGTACTAGAGATGAAACAAAAAATGGCAGAAGCATTAAAAGGCATCAAAATTGACGAGTTCAAAAACTGTTTTGAGCAGTGGAAAAAAGTATCTTGATAGGTGTACTACATCAAATGGAGAGTACTTTGAAAGTGACTGAAGTTTAAACGTGTAAGAATATATAATGTTTTAATAAATAAATCCTGGGTTTTTTGGGGGGTCCCCCCTCATATATGGCATCATATGCAATATATTTTCCCAAGTTGTTTTTTCCATACAACTGAATATTTGTGAAATTCATTCATGCTAATACCTAGAGCTAATACATGTTGCTCTAGGTCACTCGTTTTTCACTGCTGTATGATATTCCTTTCTGAAAATATGCCACATTTAATTCACTTTCCTGCAGAGGAACACACAGTTTACTCCACTTTTTTTTCCTTATTCCTTGTGTAAAAGTTCTCCGGGACAGCTGTTCTCAAATGTTAGCATATATTAGAATCATCTGGAGGTTTTATTAAAACAGATTTCTGAGGCTTATAATCAAAGTTTGCAATTAATAGGTCTAAGGTGAGACTTGATAATTTGCATTTTAACAAGTTCCCCCATGATGTTGCTGCTGCCGGTCCAAGAACCACACTCTGAGAATCATAGCATTAGGACACATGCCAGGAGCAAAAATCAAGGTCATAGATATGCATATACATCTTTGGCTTGTCTAGATATAGTCAAATTGCCCTGAAAAGTGGGTGAACCCATTCATATTTTCACCATCAGTGAATAAGTGTCCTTATTGCCAAGACTGGGTACTATCAGATTTTAATTTATACCAATCTGATCTTTAATAATTTTTTTAAAATTTATCATGAAATGTATAATTACATGTACAAAATACATGTCAGCAAAAAACCTCAAGATCTTACATCCCAGTGTTTAATGAGAACATTTCCAAGCTCCTTTCTCATATATCTCAAGTTCTACAGTCTGTCCAGTTAACTGCCGGCTTTTCCCAACAACCCTAGGAATGAACACAACAGTATAGACAAAATCAGTAAGACCTTAAGGAGAGGATAACAGAAACTTGCTCCTTTTCATGGCAAACTTCATTGTGGTTTTATTTATTGTGGTTGATTTTTTTAAAGCAGGATCTATTGAGAAGACAGAGAAGCTCCCACAGTGGGAGGGGACCTGAGGTGGTTGCCCAATAGCTGATGTTCTTAATCAATGGTGACATACAACTTTTTAAAAAACTAATAAAGTGAAGGGAGTGAAGAAAATTGGGCATTTAGGTAGGAAAGTAAAGTTCCTTCACCGATATGCCATCTTCACTTTAGGAGGGATATAAAGAATGTATTACCCATGATTAATGTCATGGAAAAGTTCCTTCCATTTTATACCAGACTAACAAGGAGACAAAAAACTGGTACTCACGGATCTGGTTGGTGGATGCACTGTAGAAGGCATTGACAGTAGTTGGATTTGTAAACCACCTGAAGAAAAAGAAACAAATGCCACAGAGTAATCATCATTATCCAGGCAGGAGGGCCACAAAGACAAACACAACATGGCTGAGTTTATTAGCAGATAACCACGGAACAATGAGGAATGGGGGGCATGAGGGGAAATTATTGCCTCAGTTTAGGACTACCGCACTGCTCAATGAACAATCTCATCCTAAATTGAACATGGTTCAACGGAAATATATTAGCATGCCTGGTTATTCACTGTTGCTAGCTTAACGAGAAAAGGCAGCACCAGTGCTTCAGAAAAAGCTTGAATGAGAAATTCCAGAATCTGAAGGGCTCTCCCTGCAAATGGAAACACAGCAAGCAGATGTTTGTCAGGCCCTATTGAATGGATGGAGACAGCTGTGTTTCTATACTGCATCAACTCTGATTTGTCTGGTAAAAAGTGTTAGTGTACTGGTGACAACACAGAGGTCCATCTAAAAAAAGATGAAAAAAGTACAACCAGGGACTTCCGGCAAGATGGTGACAGGGCAACCTGGTCTGTGAAACCCTCTGCAAAGGAGAACTGCAGTTGGTCTCTGGCTCTCTCCCCAGGGGTTGCAGACCCCACATCGCAGCCTGCTCTTCATATGGAGCTCGGCCGTTGCCACTGCTGGGGCATCGCAGCGGACTGGGCAGCCACTGCAGCGCAGACACCGCCAACGCCACCGCCACCGCCGCCGCCGCCAGTAGCACAGCATACCACCCAGGCTGGAGGTAATCCACGACTTCAGTCCTTGAAGCCCCTGCAGGCAAGATCTGCTGGGATTGCTGCCACCTCTCCCACGACCAAGAAGTCCTGCTCGCCTTGAGTCTCCTGTTGTGTGCCCTGAGGCAGGCATCCATCTCCAGTCTCTGCTGGTTCCTGTCTGGCCCCACCCCCTCTGGAGCGAGCAGCTGAGATAGCACCACCTGCTGGCGATTCAAGGTAACAACACCAAAACGGGAGAAACAAGCTTGAAAAAGAAGTAGGCCAGAGTGGTGAATGGAGGGTGATCTGAACTGTCCTTCACAGCAGGCCAGGGGCAACTGACCCTAACTGCGAACTAATTTACCAGCTTGAAAGAAAACTAGAAATCAGAGCTGAAAGGACATTGAACTTAAACAAAAAGTCTGAGAGTGTGCTTGATTGGTTCTGTTAGTTTAATGACTTAATTCTATTCCTACTGTATTGTTCCTTTTTTTTTTTTCCTCTTCCTTTTCTTTTCTTTTTGTATAGAGGAACAGCACACCAATAAGGTGGTTGACTAGCTTGTATGTTAGCATCATTATATGTTTTATTTTTTTTGTATGGGAGTTGGTTCATCTGTAGCTGTGGTCTATTGCTTTTATCTGTTTCAGTAGAGGTCTTTCTCTCCATTTGTTGACACACTCGTTTGTTTCCCCCTTACTCCACTATCTCTCCACCCCCCTTTCAAACCAACTGTCTGCTCCACTCTCTTCCCTCTGCTAACCACATTTTATTTCAGGGAGTAAACATACAACCCCAGTGCATGGACAGATTCCAAGGCAGTGGGAAGTGGATTCCAGATTATCCATACACCTGTCAGCGAATATCAGGACCTGCAGATAGATTTTGAATCACAGTTCCCCCCTTAAGTAAATCTCAAAACTGAAAAAAGGACTACCTCCAACCTACAGTGCAACTCCAGAATTGAACAAAATAAGAGGGCATACATAAAGAATAGGAGATTGAACAAACAGAAGTAAAACCAATCCCTCTACCCCTGAATAACAGAATTAAAGAAGACAGTGACGTGGAGGGAAGGAAAAAGTAGGGAGGGGGGAAAAACTCACAAATGAAGAAAAACCAAAAGAAGAGTACAGGTCTCACACAGACCCCTGGGAGATCAGACACTGAGAAAACAGATTCTGGAACACAAACAATGAAGAGCCCCCAGAATGACTGGTCACATGCAACAAACCCAGACATCAAGACATTAATGGAGAGAATTTAAAAAATTGAGGAGACAAGAGGAAAATAGGAAGGAGCTGATGTCAGAAATAACAGCAGTAAAGAATACTGTGATGGAAATAAGTAACGAACTAATAAGCATGGAAAACAGAATTAGCCAAGCAGAAGAAAGAATCTCAGAACTCGAAGACCAAAACACAGAACTAACCCAAACTGTCAAAAGCATAGAAAAGAAGCTCAAAAAGACAGAACAAAACCTGCAAGAGATGAATGATCACTTCAGGAGACCAAACCTAAAAGTAATTGGGCTTCCTGAGGCAATGAGAGAAACAGAAGCCACACTGGAACAAACATTTCATGAAATCATTCAAGAAAACTTCCCTCATCTCATCGAGGATGAAAAAATTCAAACACAAGAGATTCAGAGAACCCCTGCAAGACAACAAATGAGAAGACCAACTCCCAGACACATAATAATTCACCTAAACAAAGTAGCTATAAAAGAAAAAATCCTAAAGGCAGCAAGAGAAAAAGGCCAGACTACCTACCAGGGAAGACCAACTCGAATAGCAGCAGATTTATCCACAGAAACCCTTCAGGCTAGGAGAGCCTGGAGCCCTATCTTCAAAGTTCTAAAAGATAAACAATTTCAACCAAGAATAACCTACCCAGCCAAATTAAGCTTCATTAGTGAGGGAGAATTGAAATCTTTTCCAGATATTCAATCCCTAAGAACCTACGCTGCCACCAGACCACCTCTACAAGAAACACTTAAGAAAGTACTGAACACAGAAGAAAAAGAAAAAAAAAACAACAACATTCTTCACAAGAATACAGGCAAAAGATTAAAAACACACATGAGCCAACTCCAAAACCCAAAGAAAGACAACAAACAAACAGGAACAACTCTATAAGAACCTTATGACAGGGATCAACTCTTGCATTTCAATTATTAGCCTAAATGTGAATGGACTAAATGCACCACTGAAAAGCCATAGAATGGCAAAGTGGATAAATATCATCAGGCAACAATCTATTGCCTTCAAGAGACTCACCTCACTAGAAAGGACACCCACAGACTCGAAGTAAGAGGATGGGAAAAAAACTTTCAGGCAAACGGAATACAAAAGAAAGGAGGAGTAGCAATCTTAATTTCAGAGAAAATACCCTTCAAGCTATTAAAAATCAAAAAAGATACAGAAGGTCACTACATAATGATAAAAGGCTGAATCCATCAACAAGAAATATCTATCCTAAACATATATGGACCCAACACAGGTGCACCAACTTTCATAAAGCAACTTCTAGGAAAACTGAAGAAAGATATTGACTCTAACACCATCATAACTGGGGACTTTAATACTCCACTCACAACCCTAGACAGATCATGAGGACAAAAAATCAGCAAGGAGATCCGGAACCTCAATGTGACTTCTGATCAAATGGACTTAATTGACACCTACAGATACTCCATCCAAAGACCACAGAATATACATTCTACTCATCACCACATGGAACGTATTCTAAGATCGACCACATAATTAGCCATAAATCAAGCATAAGCAAATTTAAAAGGACCGAAATTCTACCATGCACCTTCTCGGACCACAGTGGAATAAAAATAAACATTGACACCAACAAAGTCC